TTTTTTTTTTAATAAGAAAGAATTTGGTAAATTCAGATTCAAGCACTTTGAGTTTGAAATACCCGTACAATAGACAACTGGGACAAGAATTTGGGAGAGGGGTCAAACCCAAAGATACAAGGGTACTTCAAAAAGTTCATGGAAAAGTTTGTATTATCTTTCAGTTTCACAAAAAAATTTTCCACAGACTTTTTCAAATACCCTCATATAATTTGGAAGTCATCAGTATATTAGTTGAAGCTAAAGACTGGGATAAGGCCATTCATGAAATTTATAGACAGAGAAGAGCAAAAGGTTAGGGATGGAAGCCTGTGTTCCAGGCATGGCTGACCTCCAGTTCTGATTTACCTGTGGCTGATAGGAAAATACTCAGGACTGATTTAATCCTGAGCCTGGACCCTAACCTATTGCTCTAACCTTCGTTCTCTAAACTCTAACTCCTACTCTATCAGTACCCACAATCCTGGAGAGCCCTTTGGTGATCTTAGAACTATCCAAATAATGGTTCCCTTAGTTGTCTACATGGTACCTTAAACATCCTAGAAGAAACTATCTCCTACCACCATCAGCACAGGGATTCAGCCATCCCAAGGCCTACCTGACAGGAAACTAACCAAAAAGAAAGTCTAAGGCACAAGAACACCAATTTAACAAAAGCAGCAAAAGGTGTTAGTTATCATTAGTATCCCTTGGCCTCAAAAAAGTGGGAATCACCAAAATGACATGAGGCAGGCACTTTTTGGGATGCTTCTGCCTATTTGTTTTTCAAACGAAGGGCACGATCCATTTGAACCGCCTCTCTGCCTGGGGCACAAGTGGTACAGAATGAGTTCGCTGCCATGTGGTTAACAGTAGACCAAGGAAATCACTGGGGTAAGAGTCCCAAGGCTTTGGGGGCATTTACCCATATACTAAAGGGAAAAAATTAACCTGAATTAAAAAAAATTAATCTCCAGAAAATTAGAAAAACAAACTGGTAAAAGAAAATAAGTTTCCACGTAGAAAGACATTTCTCTTTATTTCACTATATCCAAAGTCACATCAGTGATCAAAAATTGATTTAAAAATTCTGTATTTAAATTTATGTACAATAAAAATTAGTTTTAATTTTGAAGGCTCCTTTTTTTCTGACCCTCATGTAATGATCAACTAGGTAATAGCTAGAGATAAGACTGTGCTAAAGTGTATCTTCTGCAAAGCAAATAATTATTCAATCTCTCCAAAAGACAATACTATTGCAATGACAAATATAGCGTCTCCTTTCATTTAAAAAAAAGAAAGAAAAAAAAGCACCACATGGAGACTAGAGTGTTTGCTCTCTGGTTTGAGTTGAACTTTCAACTTTGATACAGCACGTTATACTGAATCCTGGCTCTGTCCACATTAAACTGTCATTTTGTTTTGCCAGCTGCTGACATTCCACTTTCTCTGGAATACACATACTGGTCTTTGTGTGGTAACTTCATTGACAGGTGCAAACATTGGACTGTCAAACAATAGACAGAGGTAAAATGAATAGTAATATTAATATGAAAGTAATTAACTTCCTAAGTAGGAAAATGTAAATTAAGTAATTGTAAAGATAATAATATTTTGTGCTTATAAATAATTTATTATAGATATTTCTTATTTTCTTTTGAATTTGTATATATGAGCGGTCTTCAGAAAGTTCATGGAAAGATTCCTATTATTTTTATTTTTTACTTTTGGCTGCTGGCCAGTAAGGAGACCTGAATCCATGACCTTAGAGTTACCTATTGTCTTTTAATTCTATTTTTCCACGGACTTTTTGAAGTAATCTTGTATGTTTATAAATAAAATTTTATAAGATTAAGAAATAAGTTTCATTTATAACAGAGGTTATGATTCTTAAATTTGTTAGCACTTAAGACTTTTAAATTTTAATTAATATAATCTTCTAAATTATTAATCAGCAGCCAAAGTTTGTAATAGAAGAAGCACAGTTATGTCTATTAACTGCCATAAAATCAACCAAATTCCTTATCATATCCTCACATCCCCATTCTCTTTTTCTTGTCAAGAGTCATTACATTCCTCTATTTCTCCTAAATATAATGTTTCTTCAAAAGATCCCTTTTTTGAAACTTTGGCAGTTCTTTCTGTGTTTAATAAAAGGTATTTTGCCTCCTTGCCTTTTTCTTCTTTAAACCATTAACTATATTACTATCAAAACAGTCTTTCTAACTCATTGTAAAGAAAAATTATTTTCTCTCCCTAAAACCTCACTCATTTTGACTTTCATATTAACATTTTTTTTTTTACTTCCAAGCAAACAACGTTTTTTTTGGTTTTTGTTTGTTTGTTTGTTTGTTTGTTTGTTGCAGCTGGCTGGCACAGGGATCCAAACCCGTGACCTTGGTGTTACCAACTCCATATACTCCGAAGTGAGCTAACCAGCAAGCTAGCAGAAAACTATTTATGAACACCAGTAATGTATTAGTGGCATTTTGACTTTCATATTAACATTTTTTTTTTACTTCCAAGCAAACAACGTTTTTTTTTGGTTTTTGTTTGTTTGTTTGTTTGTTGCAGCTGGCTGGCACAGGGATCCAAACCCGTGACCTTGGTGTTGCCAACTCCATATACTCTGAAGTGAGCTAACCAGCAAGCTAGCAGAAAACTATTTATGAACACCAGTAATGTATTAGTGGGTGACGGTTAGATGGGGAATGTAGGGGGT